ATCACATTCAAGGATGAAAGACTTGTGCACTTTGATATGCTGAACCATCAAAACTGTGTTGATGATTGTTGTATTTTACTAATTGTGGCAAATCAGATTGTCTTCAATTCTCAATTGTTGATCTTGTTATCATTCCGTAATAACACTGGCAGGCCCTGTAATCGAAAAGTCCTATTTTCTAATAATAAAATAAATAAAAGCAGAAATCAGAGGCGCCTGTGGCCTAATGGATAAGGCGTCTGACTTCTAATCAGACGATTGTGGGTTCGAGTCCCACCAGGCGTGGTTTTTACAAATTTTATTTACTTTATTTATTTTTAAAGTTGCAGTGCCTTTATTATATAGAAATATTTAAAATTTTATTATTTTTTGAAGCTAGAGCGTTCCAATTAGACTGTATTCATTACATAAATAGTATTTTATAGCTTGATAAAGTTGAAATTATAAAATACAATTTTATTATTTCAGTGAGATAAAAAAAAAAAAAAAAGGGAAAATTATACTATAGGATTTGGCAGTTATGCTTAGCTGGTACATATAAAACATCATATCCGTTGAAAAGGAATAGAATAATTTGAGAAATTAAAATCCGGCCCCTATATAGGACCACTATAAACATGTGGCTACTTCTTTTTAATATTTTTTTTTTATTTATTCTCAATTAGAGTAGCTTTTGCCATTGCCACCAATTGTGACTTGAGAATTGAGATGACAACCATAAGTCTAGGCTTTGCAAAAAAAATTATCCTCTCTTTCCATGTACCCTAATTTGGTAAAAGCCTATATGCCTCTCCTACTCCTCACATTATTGTAAATAATAGCAAATTCATTTTAGTGGGGGAAGTGGAATTTTGACCCCCCCTTTTTTTTTTTTAATTAATTTTTTCTCCTTTTTTATAACTTTATATAATTGGATTACAAGTTCACGTACTGCTAAAGCCTACAATTGTGTCATATAAAAGCTTTATAATTAAGCTACATTTTATTATTCTCTATTAAAATCCTTATATAACACTTGAGCTAGCTTCTAGCTCGGTTAGTAAAGTATATGACAAAATCTTCTTTCCATAATATGATTCTACAATTATTAAATAAATTTTGATTTGAATATATAAAGTGATTCGTGTTTATCAATCAAAATTCTTATAAGATAGTTGTTTTGATAATTTAGCCGTTATACTAAAAAAAATATGTTTAATCACAAAATAATATCATCACCTTTGTTTGAGCAAGCTCAACTAGCAAAACGATGTAGTTTGAGTGAAAGAAGAGTTTTATGAGTTGTTTTTTTATTAATAATTAAAAAATTTACATTATATATAGAATGAACTGCACTTTATTTATTTTTTTACTTATTAATTATAAAAGAAACAAAAATAAGTTTTTTAATAAAGAAATTTCATAATATTATTTTTACGATAAGCAAGAGTATGATAAGTGTGGAGTACGAATTATGAGGATTGAAAACAAGTGTGTTAGTGGTCCCTAAAATCCTACTCCTTGAGCTTCATTTTTATTGTCCCACTTTTTAATTTGAGATTTCAAGTTTTGATTGCATAATATGTGGATAGGGTAAATTGAATTATATAAAAGGATTATTATCATTATGCAATTTAAAATAGAAAACATATAAGAAAAAAACCTAAAGAGAAAAGGAAAAATAAGGACCATTAAATATTAAAAATATCATCTGATCACAACCATTAAATGTACATAGTGTAATATTAAATTATAATTTTATTAAATTTATTATATAACTATTATTAAATATCATCACATTTTTAATATTAATATATCATAATTTTTTATTTCTCAAAATAAATTGTAGTAGAAAGAATAATTAAATTGGGAACAACCCATATCTAGATTTTTTTTTATGCAATTCAATTTTGAGTTTTGAATTTATATATATTACATTAAAAAACATTTTATAATTTAGTCTATATCATATTATAAAATATAAAATTTTAAATCAGAGATAGTTACACCTAGGTCTAGAGGTCCACTAACATTAGTCAACTTATTAGGTGCATTCTCCTTTCCTGGACGGTTTTGAACCCGCCCGTATCAAAATGTTAAAAAAAAAAAAAAAGTCGGAGATAATTAACACAACACGGCTCTCATAGTACATCTCTTTTAATATTAAAAGTCATCTATTTACTTAAAATTTTATATTTTATAATACAATATAATTTAAATAATAAAGGAAAACAGCGGACTCGTACATATACGGCATGGAGTTAAATTCATAGTATCATTTTCATTTGGCAGTTGTTAAGAGGGCCGGAGGGTCTGTGCTGTGGTCTAAACTCTGGACCATCGAGTACAGTTGGATCCATCTCAGATCATAATGAAGAAAGAAAATGAAACATTCTCCTTTCTGATAGGGATGTGGACAGCCGTCGGATGCATTTGATTGTAGAAAAACTCTCATCACCATAAATGCCAATATGCCATGCCAGCATTGGTAGGGAACTGCACGAACAGTTTCCTAGGCCATTTCCATAAAATAGAGTTCCTAGGATAAATGTACTATTTATTTTTAGTGCTCAACCTTTAGGTTCTCTTGCAATTTTGTCTTCCATTTTTTTTTTTTTGAACAGTTTACAATTTAGGGATTGGGAAAAGAGATTTTTCTTGGCATTGGTGGGATTCGAAACCCCAACCAATTAATCCAAACACTTTAAGATTTGAGAACAAACCATTTAATCCTGAACACTCGATTCTAATTTTATTCTTCATTTTTTACAAAAGGATGCAAATTATATTATTATAATACATATCAAATGCAAAACCTAGCTCATTGTGATGTCACTTTGCTTTGTAAAGTGAAAAAAACCTCACTCATTTCAGTTTAAAAAATTATACTTTTTCTTGATGTTAAGCATATTTTTGTTTTTAATCTTTTTCAACTTGAGATAGTCCATTCATATGGTATAATTTTTTTTTTTCTTGTGGTTATAGCCACACATATTATTGTTAAGGTCACATAATTTTGATTGATAATTTATTAGTTTGACTATTAAAAATAGTTGATAATTAATAAAGTAATTAATATTTATTGTTACCAACGATTTGTTAGTTCAAATGAAAAAAGTTCAGTTCTCTTTAAATAAGATTTTGAATTCGAGTTTTATAAGTGAAGAAATAAATGTTAGGAGAGTTTCTTTCTTATAGAGTCTGACGCAGTTCGATTTCAGATTAATTGAGATTTAATATAATTACTAGATACTGAGAAATTAATACTAAAAAAATTAATATTTATTACTTAATAAATTAAAATTAATTTATAGATAAATATTTTTGAATATTATAATTAATTATTTTAAAAGATAAAATATTATAAACTAATAAAATACCAATCAAACTTTGTAATCCTAACAGTAGCACTTGTAGTCATATTTACAACCATAAATCTTTACTCTCTTTTTCTTCTCTTTTCTTTTCCTCTTTTTTTTTTTTTTCTATAAATTATTGAGGAGTTTTAAGAGGGCCATGTTAGGATCAAAAGGAAAGGACCTATTGGCCAGTTTCAAAGTTGGGGATGATTTTGCAAGTACTGGGAAAAGTTGAGGATTAACAATTGTGTAGTTAGCCCAATTTCTTGGTAACCATTTCCAGTGGTATTTTTTTTTTGGCAAAATCCCTTTTTAAATCCCTAAACTTACCTCAAAATAGCATTTAAACCTTAAATTAAAAATAAAATAAATAAACCCTTAAACTCCACTAACGATGTAAATAAACCATTCTCACAAACATGCCAAATGGTATTTCATATTTAATATCACATTGAAAGCATGAAAACCCATGAATGAAAATGGCTTATTTACATCATTAGTGGAGTTAGAGGGTTTATCTATTTTATTTTTAATTCAAGAGTTTAAATATTATTTCAAGATAAACTTGAGGGCTTAAGAAGGGTTTTTGCCCTTACTCAGGGGCATGCTGGCAACCACAATAATTAATTAAGGTGGACCGTAGAGGCAAGATAAGGCGCTGGCATCAATGAAAATCTTAAGAAGACCAACATGCTCTTTCTTGAGAAAGGTTGTCCCATTCTCCAAAAACCCACGAGCATTCAACCAAATCAGAAGAATTCTTCAATTCAAACCCAACTAAGATCGTGGTCCCACGACGAAATTTAATAGATGAGATATTGTCTATAAAAAAGGAAGAAATTTGGGAATAAACATTATGATAGCCTCTAAACTAAGTTTTCCTTCTTAATATCATCATTATATTTCTTTGTGGGTCAATTACACCCGTGTACTTCATTTTACTTATATTTACCTAAGACCAATTGTAATACTAAATTGTGAATCTATGATGATTTTTTGTTAATGCGTTGGGCTGTCCCTTTCTTTCACTTATTATTTAAAAACTTGGCATGACAAATTTAGATGAGAAAGATAAATTTATTATGTTATTGTTTAATAATAATTAAAATATTAGTTTTTTCACACTGAAATTTGCTACAAAAGCTTTTAATCTAAAGATAATATAAAAAAGTTGTCAATTTTTCTTTAGGTATTAAATTTTATAGTATCTAAAAATTACATTGAATTTAACTCATTTTGAGTCAAATTATATTTGATTTCATAAATGAGAAATCTATTCTAATATTTATCTTTTTATTTATAAGATTCAAATTTAAAATTTTATTTAAAAATAACAAAACTTCTTATATTCAAACTAACAGATTGGTGGTATAAAGAAGTTGTTTTTGCAAGGCCTAAATGAAGGCATTATAGTTGAAGAGAGTTTATGTCAGTATGTGACTAAGTCCTTTATACAATAGTAAGAAGAAAAAATTGAGGACAAAGTTGAGAAAAAGAGTTAAGTTTAGGGACTAAGTTAAGAGTAAATGTGGAAGATATTTCTAGGAGAAATAAACCCAGGAATTTCAGTTGCTCGAGAGAGTCAAAACGGGGAATTTGTTGATTGAAGTTCTCTTTTCCTCAGAACCAAAATTTTGCTTTCTTTTCTTTCTGCCCATTAAACAATGAAAATGCCATATTACCAATCATCCTTTCCCCTCTATAGGAAACACCCATCATTGCTCCCAATAATCCTTTTCTATTTAAACAATCTTCTTCTTCCTTCTTTTTTCCAATTTTCTCCTCCTCAATTCAATTCTTCATCATGGATATCAATGGCTTCTACTCCTTTCTCAACCGAGGCATTGATGATCTTGAAAGGCTTTACCTTTCCACCTCCAATTTCATGTCCATCCAATTCCTTCAAAGGGTCCTCTCCCTTCTCCGATCTTTCCACTCCCACCTGCTCCTCCTTGTGCAGAGGCTCCACTTGCCCGTCGGCGACAAGTGGCTTGACGAGTACATGGACGAGAGTTCTAGGCTCTGGGAGGCCTGTCATGTTCTAAAATCGGGTGTTTCTGGCATGGAAAATTACCACTCTGCTGGATTTAACCTCACTTCTTCACTTGACAATCACCCCCTTCTGAATCCCCACCTCTCCCGCCAGGTTATTCGGGCGATTTCGGGTTGCCAGAGGGAAGCCGTGGGACTAGAGGAAGAAAACAGGGCATTGATGGAGACCAGAATCCAGCCGCTGTCGTTGCGGTTTGAAGACAAGGTGTCTGTTGACTCGAAGCTTAATGGGTTCAATGGGTTCAGAGGCGTTCTGTACGCGATGAGGAATGTGAGCTCGGTGCTTCTGATGATGTTGCTTTATGGGTTGGTGTACAGTTGGCCGGAATCAAGTTTGGGGTACGAGGGGACAGGGTGCTTGTTCTTTGGATCAGCGTTGATGGTGTCGACGGCGAGACTGCAGCAGAGGGTGGCAGCAGAGATCAACGAGATGGGGAGGAGTGGAACATTGGTATTCGAGTTCAGGAGGTCCAAGGTTGTAATGGAGGAGCTGAAAGGGGAGGTGGAAGGGAGGGGAGGGGCTCTGGAGTGGGAGTGGGAGACACAAGTGGGGATTAGGGAGAGAGTTGACAACTTGAAGGGGTGTTTAGGGCTGCTGAGGTCTGGAACTGACAACATCGTAGCCCAACTTGATGATTTCTTTGATGAGATTGTTGAGGGTAGGAAGAAGCTTTTGGAATTGTGCACTCATAGGTAGACTTTCTTCTTTTTTTTTTTAATAATAAAATGGTATTTTTCTCTTTGTATTAAATGAAGTTTGAGTTTTTAATTTTTAACTTTTTAACCTAATCAAATTGATTAATTCTAAATTTAATTTAGTGTAGACAAACTGATTTATAATCAGAATACCTAAATATCAGAATGTCTACGTAGTTGTTCTAAAGAGAAAAGGGAAATTTTCCATTTGCTTTTTCTTTTTAATTTTGAGAAAAAGGGGATTGAGAGTGGTGTAGGTTATGGTACAATTACATGACTAAACAGTAATGATTCGACTGGGGAAAGAATAATAAGAGGAGAGTAAGATTCCTGGGTGGGTTCCTTTTGTTTGCTTTTGTTTGATTGATTTGCTTCTGCACTTTCACTTTGAAAAGAAAGGTATGAGACACAATTTCTTTTTCTTTCTTTTATAAGGAAATAAATAAACAAAAAAAAGTCAGTTTTCCAATTCAAACTTGTAACCCCCTCTTCTCATGCTTTTTTGACCTGGCCGGAAATTCATGCCTTGCCTCCCTTCAAGGGTTCCATGAATAAATTAAAAATGCATAAAATAATGGCTAACTTAGCACCCACCCAACCCAACCAAAAAAGGCTGAAGTTTTTATAGGCTTTAGCCCCCAAAACCCTCACCCTTCTTTCCTTTCCAATACTGCAAACAGCAGCTTTTTTGTTTCCCCACTCAGTAACACAATTAGAGATTAGCAGGCAGCACAAGAAAATGATTTAGAAAAAAAAAAAGAAAAAGTACCAGATTGTGTAACTACATGCAATGATGCAATGCATGAAAAAAGTGCCTGATGTCAAACAAGATACACTGCTCTGCTTGTTGTTCCATTACCCAGCACCAGCTGGCCACACATGATAACAGCACAAATCACATTTTTGTGCAACTAAAAGACTTCTCGTAACAGTATCATATTAGCCTTTATCACAATAAACAAAAAAACTATGTAGTAAACATTTAGTACAAAAAAAAAAAAAATGTAGTAAACATTTAAAATTCCTTATTTTTACTGTTCTGTCAGAAATAAAAGCATTCTTTTAATTTTTTACGAAGTTACTGACAAAAAAGAATTGATTTCCAGGTTTCAGGCAGTTCATCTCTGCGACCTTTTTGGTAATAGATCCATATGTATTTACACTCTTTTATGATTTACAGACTCTGAAATGGGAAAACAAGGTGCAGTGGCAAAAATCAATATATTACTCAAAAAGCATGTAGATGCTCTTTTATGTCTTCAAATATCAAACCCAGGCATTGCAAACTGTGAAGCAAATGCCTCGACTTTATTTCGGAGATCAACAATATCACTATTGTTTTGGAGACCCTTGAGAAGCTCTTTCTTTGATTTTCCATGTTCCCTCTGAACGGTACTCGTGATATGTGCTGCTGTAATAAGAAAGTCCGCAATAGTCTCAAAATTAGATTCCAGACAACCTCTTGATGTCATTGCAGGAGTACCTAAAAGAGAGGGAAAAAATTGTTGAGGCATTGTAGGTCTTGACCTTGGAGACAATAAGGAATAATAATGAACTAAAATTCCAGATATGGTGAGCAAAATAAACTGTAATTTTTTTTTATACATAGAGATTAAGAATTGAAACCTATGATTTAGAGCGTAGATAACTCTACCATCAGATTACATGGCTAATGGTGCAAAATAAATTGTAACAATTTATGTTTCTAGACTGCATAAATTGGAAGCATAAAGAGAGATTGAAATAACAAATATTGGGAATTCCATTCAAATGATATCATATTAACTAGCTCATTCTGAAAGACTAGCAAATGTCAATATCACTAGCGACAAAAATCCAAACAAAAGGTGAGGCAGACTGGTCGTTAGGGAAACTTCCCTAAATGCAAACAATACCGTACACAAATGACAAATAAGAGAAGTTGGTACCCACTATTTTCAAAACCTTAATTTTGAGGTTAAGCTTAGGAGTTCAAACCAATCTAATAGCCGAGTAATTACTTCTTTGCTGAACACAAATAAAATAAAATACGGCTTACCAATTCTCACTCCTCTGGGAGAAATGGCACCATTACCACCAAATATAGCAGTTTTGTTTACAGTGATGTGGCACATCTCACAGACTTTCTCAAAATATTTACCTAGAAAACGGAATAGGAGATTACTTAGAGAGAACAAGAAACTGTCAGCATATATGCGTATAGAACAGGAAACTGTCAGCATATATGCGTATGCACTATGCACAGATGATGCCTACTCCCAGCTGTATGCATATAGAACAATAACCAGAAAAGGTGATGGTGACATGCATTCTCATATATAGGGATCCAATATAGAAATTCATTTTCTTAAATTATTCCACCATGTTAACTCTAGATATCAAATTGTCCAACACAATTTCCTAAAGCTATCATTCCCAATAGTTAGATGCTTGAAGTTCACTAAGGAAAAAAAAAAAGAAGAAGAAGAAAGAAAAAGAAAGAAAGAAACAAGAAGATTCCCAACTTAAGAGATGTAGAAGAAAAAAGTAGTAATTACTGGATACCATTTTCAACACAGTTTAAAAGAATATATATTTACGTGACTATCTAGTTGTATTTACCTATCTGGGAGAGCAGATTCCATAACTTTTTACTTAACCCATTGTCACGAAAGCAGAAGACTAAAGCAGCATATGCTCTCATGTAGAGAAAACAACAAATCCTAGAGCTTTCCACAGAGATACATTTCCAATAATAAGAACAAGGCAAATCTGCAGAAATAATTATTTATCATCTAGTTTTTGACATTGGGCAGGTTATAATTAGAATACCTGTTAAACCTAGGGCGGTCAGATCCCAGAGCAACAAATGATTGTCCGTGCCACCAGTCACTAATTTGCATTGTCTTCTTAGCAAAGCAGATGCTAAAGCCTGAGCATTTTTCTTCACCTGTTGCATGTATGCTTTGTACTCAGGAGTAGCCACTTGCTTTAAGGCTATGGCAAGAGCAGCAATGTGATTATTATGAGGGCCTCCTTGGAGTGAAGGAAAAACAGCAAAGTTTATCTTCTCTTCAAGGTCATAATAGCTGCCACCATCACCATTAGTTAGAGGCACACCTTGCTTTCTTGATTTTGGGCCTCTCCTGTAAAAGATAATACCTCCCCTTGGACCCCGTAGACTTTTATGAGTTGTAGAAGTAACTACATCACAGTAGTCAAATGGACTTGCAGACACCTACAAGACACAGAAGCTAAAATGTTGGTGAGCAAAAAGTACTGCAGAAATTTTCTTCCATTTAACTGAAAAATTGAAATTAAATTCTAATTGGATTTTGATAATCATCCAATCAATTTCAAAAGCAAGGAAACTAGATACAGAAAATTGAATTTTTTGAATATTCATCTATAATTATAATGCACAGGACAAATTGCCTGGGTGAAATGAGAATGTTCAGTCAAAATAAAGATACAACAAAGGATAGAGGGGTGATAAGGAAGAGGAAGCATCCATGCTTCATAGAGTCTACGTATCAAAATAGATTGCAGGCAGCTAAATGTACAAAATGAAGTAATATATTAACAAGGGAAGAACACAAAAATGGACTAGGTAGTAGAATGTCATCATCAACACTATCAGTAACATACAAGCACACTCTTGCTGAAAAGTCATTTATTTCCTAAATAAATAGAATCATTAAGCCAAAAAGGACATATGCCTAGCATTCATGCTACCCAGTATATATATAAACTCCAAAATTAGCAGAATAAATGATAAGCATAGCAGATAAAACAATCATTTCCAACACCTTGCTGCAAAGATGTGATCTAGGCTCAACTTGAACGGAATATAAATTAAAAACCCTATTTTGACATTCAAATTCACATGATTGCATGACTTGCATTCATGCTTTCTGTTTGAAAAGGTGAATTCATATGCTTGTATTACTGTCAATGGATCAGAAAACCGACACTCCCTATCTTTGGCACATGAATTGCAGGAAACAAAATCCATTGCCATAAAGTGAATGAAAACCCAAGCTTACAGCATAAGAATTGTGCAGTGCCAAAACAACTTAAAATAAACAGGACAAGTCCATACCTTTGCTGCGATAAGGCCACTAATTTGAGCCATATCACACATCAACACGGCTCCACACCTATCTGCAATCTGTCTGAACCTAGCATAGTCCCACTCTCGTGGATATGAACTCCCACCGCAAATCAATATCTTGGGGCGATAATCAAGTGCCTTGTCCTCCAGCCTATCATAATCAATATAACCTGTTTGCGGATTGACCTTATAAGGAAAACTCTCAAAGAATATCGAAGCAGCAGATATCTTCTTCCCCCCTGGCTGATAATACCCATGACTCATATGCCCTCCAGATGGTGAATCCAATCCCATTATCCGATCACCAGGCTGTAAAAGACCTGTATAAACAGCAAAATTTGCAGAAGTACAGGAGTAAGGCTGCACATTCACTCCCCACTGTTGTGAATCGAGACCAAAAGCTGCCAACGCACGCTCACAACAGAGAGTTTCAATCTGATCAATATACTCATTGCCTGTGTAGTATCTTGCTCCAGGCATTCCCTCGGAATATTTGTTGGTTAAGTGACTACCCAGAGCTTCCATTACTGCACGGCACACAAAATTTTCAGAGGCAATAAGCTCAATTCCTCTGAATTGTCTCTTCTTCTCTTTGTTCATGATCTCATGCACCTCCGGGTCCACAACTTCCATCGGCTGGTTGCCCCAGGAACGAACGGCAGCCCGCCTCTGCTCCAGACTAGGGTCAGACGCCAGACGTTTACAAGGGTTTGAAATTGAAAGACACTGGGGATCTCTCTGCCTTTTGAGACACATTGGATGCCCTAAAAGACTGAATCGCTCACCTTCTTCGTCGTCCTGATCTTCCTCCTCTCCGCTAACAACCTGACATTGTTTGAGAAACCGGAGGGAACCAGAAGGGATCGGATTGGATGAAGCAATATGCACAGAAATGGAATCGCCCGAAACCGGAATCTTAGAAGGCGACGATGATGCATGCGAATTCCCAAACCCTAAGGAAAGAGCCGCCGACTGAGCATTAGATAAATCCATAACACCCTAAGATTTAGTTACCCTTGAGGAAACAGAATTTGGGGATTGCTGGACTAAGGATAAGTGTAGCAGCAACAGAAACAGCGGCAACAGTTCTGGAAGAAGGAACACCGAAGATAACGGAAATTTGGTCGGCGTGCAGTTGGCGCGGCGGAGGAGCTTTCCATGTATCGCTCTTTAATTGCTTTTTGCTTGAGCCGGAAGGAGGATGAGAAGAAGAAGAAGGACGGCTAAATACAGCGACGGGTAGATGATGACGTTTGGGTAGGATACACGTGGCCCAACCGAATTAGAGGAGGAGGAGGGATTTGAACGTAGACACAATTGCAGTTAGGTTCGTAGTTTCGGACTTGAAGGGAGAGAAAATCAACTGAGACATGCGCGTGGTCTTGTGCGCAGTCATTGAACCAACTACACGTTAAGCTTTTTTTTTTTTTTTTTTTTTTT